AAATCTGATCTGGGCTAAAGAGGCTATTTTTGTCTTCCTGGAGTTTCCTCATTCTCTTAAGCCTCCTTGTGTCCCCTAGGAACCGGGTGGCTGGCAGCAATTGTCTTTTAAAAGAGAGAGAGGGCAGCCCCTAATTGCCTGCATCCAATAGCCCCAGTGTGGGAGACACACAGGTGCTTCACAATGTGGTGAGGAGGGAAGACTTTCACTGAATCTGCGGCCTTTTCACAAGGCCCTGTCTTTGTCTGTGCAGAATAAACACATCAAGGCTCCCTGCTGCGATTTGGGCTTCTCTGCCCCACGCTGTGCCCTCCAAGCCATTGCTTCCACCCAGAAAGAGAATTTTCAAACCATAAGAAATAGGAGGAAATAGGACTTTCTGCAACAGTCTGGCTTGGGTTGGGCTGTTCTGGGACTGGGAAGGGGATGGGGAGACACTGCGTTCAAGTAACAAGTTATGTGGCTGCAAAGGGTTAACCTTCCCACCCTTCTTCCACCAGCTCCTGTCCCAGCTACTCCAGGATCCAAGACCACCCTGGCACCTGCTTTTATACAGCCTCCCAGGTGTTTCCAGGTGGTCACACTGCTCCTGGCCCTGCCTGTGTTTCAGGGATCAGCTGCCAGGGCCCACTGGTCTGGTTCCTTGCAGTGCAGGAGGGAGGAAGAGGTGACTTAGACACATGTCTGGTTGTCATGTCCATCTGGGGTGATGGTGAAAAATACAAATTGAGCCGGGCTCGGTGGCTCAGCCTGTCATCCTACACTTTGGGAGGCCGGGGTGAGTGGATGGCCTGAGCCCGCGGGTTCGGGACCCGCCTGGGCAACTTGGCGAGACTTCATCTCTACAATAAATCAAAAAATGAGCCGGGCGTGGTAGCGCACGCCTGTAGTTCCAGCTACTTGGAAGTCTGAGGCAGAAGGATCGCAGAGCCCAGCAGGTCGAGGCTGTGGTGGCTGGGACCATGCTACTGCACTCCAGTCTGGGCGATGGAGTGAGACTCCAACTCAAAAAAAAAAAAAAAAAAAAAAAGAAAAATATAGATTGCTAGGCCCTACCCCGGGCATCTACATCAGCATTTGCAGGAGAGGAAACTGGGATCTGTATATTTTAATGAACGTCCTAGGTTTGAGAAATGCTGGCTGAGATATTAAGAGCTCTCACTTTAAATCAATGGTTCTCAAACTTGGCTGCACATTGGCATGACCTGGAGCATTTTTTAAATACTGATGAGAGATTCTTATTTAGTGGGTCTGGAGTTCAACCTCAGCCTTGTGGTTTTATTACGCCTCTCAAGTGTTTCCAAATATGTAGCCAAGGTTAAGAACCACAGCCTTAGGGTCAGGTGTGCCTGGATCCTGGATCTGCCTGAGCTTAAGAACAGTGTCCTTTAGCCGGGGCGTGGTAGTGCGCGCCTGTAGTTTTGGCTCCTTGGAAGGCTGAGGCGAAAGGATCACCGGAGCCCAGCAGGTCCAGGCTGCAGTGGCCAGGAGCGTGTCACTGCACTCCAGTCTGGGTGACAGAGGGAGATTCCAACTCAAAAAAAAAAAACAAAAGAACTGTGTCCTTGGACAAGGTACTTCACCTCTCTGGGCATGTTTCTTCATCTGCATAATGGGAATCGTGATAACTATTGGGGGTTGTGGTTGGCATGCAGGGAACGTGACTGGGTATTGCTGTTCACACATCTGGTACCCAGTGGGCCTTTATATATTCTGGATACAGATCCTGTATTATTTTTTAAATAGATGATTTGCAAATATTTTCTCCAAGTCTGTTGCTTTTCTTTTCTTTTTTCTTTTTTTTTTTGAGTTGGAGTCTGTGTCTCCCAGGCTGGAGTGCAGTGGCACGCTCAAGGCCCCCACAGGTCTGACCTGATCCTTCCACCTCAGCCTTCCAAGGAACTGGAACTATAGGTGCACGCCACCACGCCTGGCTAATTTTTTGATGTATTGTAGAGATGAGGTCTCGCCAAGTTGCCCAGGCTGGTCTCAAACTCCTGGGCTCAGGCAGTCCTCTTGTCTCCGCCACCCAAAGTGCTGGGATTACAGGCGTGAGCCACCTTGCTGGGTATCTCTTCATTTTTTTATGTTGTCTTTGAAAGTGCAAATGTTTTGAATTTTGATGAGGTCCAGTTTACCATTTGTTTTTCTTCTATGGACGACACTTTTGAAGCCACATCGAAGAAATCTTTGACTAATCTCGGTTATAAAAATGTCCCCCATGTTCCAGGTCTTATACTTTTAGCTCTTACATTTAAGCCTGTGATCCAGTTTGAGTTAATTTTGCATAGGGTGTGAGATATGGAACTGTGGTCAGTCTTTGCATGTGACTATCCAATTGTCCCAGCGCCATTTGCTGTGAAGACCATCCTTGTCTTCATTGTGCTGCCTTGGTATCAATGCCCAAAATCAGCCAGCCATAAATAAAAAGTTTTATCACTGAACTCTCACTTCCATGCCATCGATCTATGGGTACCATACTGGCATAAGTTGGTTTAGCAAATGTTTGTTGAATGAGCCAGTAAAATAATGGGAGCTAGAACTAGAACAAAGATAAAGCACGCGGTTTGGCATTCATAAAATCTGTGCGTTCCTAGGAAAGTCCAGGTAAGTCGATGAACAAAACAAAACAAAAACAACTGTAGATTCATTTAGGTGTCTCATAGGGCATCCCTGGGCAAAAACTCCAGGACATTGGGAATGGGGAAACACCCCATATCAACAGGGTGCCTGAATGAAATGCAATTGTATACCTAACCCTTAACTGTACCCCACAACTTCATAACAAAAAATAAGTAAATAATGAAAAAAAAAGAAAAAGAAAAAAAAAAAACTCCAGGACAAAGCTACTTGGTAAAGTGAATAACTACTCTGGCATTTCTGTTCATAATATTTTGCACCTGTTTCCTATGTTTGGATATTTGTCTATGGATTTTATTTAAAGCGGGAGCTATGCCTTCCAGTAATTCTCCCACCAGGTCCCCATTTCATTCAAAGATATCAACAGCCGCTCACAGGCAAGAGCTTAATCTCTTGGGTGTTGAGAGGCCTTTGGGCATAAACAACCAAGGCGAGCTCTCCTGCAGTATGCCTTCCCCATACCACTCCTCCCGCAGCTTCTGTTTCAGAGCTCTGTGCCGCCCCAGGGGCCTTCTATAGACCTGTAGGCTGAACCCTCAGGAACTTGTCGTCAAAGATACAATTCCCGAGCGTTCTGGTGGCCGGCAGATGGACAGCTCTGCTGAATCCATCACGCGATGTTACGGGCATATGGGTCGGATGGCCAGCCGTTGAAATCACCGCTCAAGCCCTCGGGACCACTGGAGTCTAGTGACGTCATAGGCTCAGCCCTGGGAGACTTCCAGGCAGCACTGGGAGAAAGCCCTCGCTTGCACTGTGTGTGAGCACTGGCTGTGCTGCTGCAGACGCACTTTCACTTCACTTCTCAGCACCCTGTGGGTGTATCAGGTCTCAGAAAGACAGGGGCCTGGCCAAGGTCACGCAGCTGGAGAGGGCAGGGCCACCACTCGAAGTCAGGGCCCCGCCCAGCCTGCGTCCCAGTTCCAGGCTGCATCTCTCACGCCCCCCCGCACCCCTCCAAGGGCTTCCCAAGGCCTCGCTCTCCCTCTCCCAGTCGACACAGCTCTGTCCTGGCTGGAGCGATGGAGGGGAGAGATTTCCATGGGGTGGAGTCGGCAACCTGCAACTCTGGGAATGGATGAGCCTTTTGAACACTCGGGTGAGGGGTTTCGGAAGAGGCCCAGGACTCTCAGATCTGTGTACTGTGTAATCCAGGCCTAGCGTGTGGCAGGGAACTCAGCCCACTACCACCACCACCAGCATTTCTTCCTGCCTCGCAATAAACGTACTGATTCAGTGAAACAGTATTGTTTGGTGGGCAAGAGCTTTGGAGTCAGGCAGACCAGCGGTGGCACCTACTTAGCTGTGTGACACAGAGCAAGGCGCTCAGGGCATCTCTGAGTATCAAACTCCAAAGCAAATGGTGATTTAATTGCCCACTGCAGAGGCAATTGCAAGGAACTGGCCCCAATAATGCTTAGCATATCGTCAGCATTCAGATGGTTTTTAAAAATGCAGATGCAGCCGGGCTCGGTGGCTCAGCCTGTAATCCCACGCCTTTGGGAGGCTGAGGTGAGC